TTCTTTTTCAGAAACAGATCCTGTCTAACTCTGAAAGCTAGGAAACATCTTGTAACTGTGACTTTCCTTCCCTCCAGTGACTACGGTGACATTATTTACATGAACATTCCTACAAGCACTCTGCAGATGCTCCCTATCATGGTGCACCACCATTGCACCCTGCATTCACTGGTTAACTGGTCATCATTAACTTCATGCAAACTCTCTCACTGGTACATTTTCATCTTTAAATCACTTCTGGGTCTACTGCCTTCATACATCTCCTCCTATATGTCACTGCGTGAGTGCAGCTACAGTGTACAATGTGTTTGTATTGTATTAAACCAGGTTAATTTTAACTGGATTTAAATCTGGATTGGTTTGGAATTAATAGGCATTTGATTGGAGATTGGAATAAACTGAACCTGCCTATTTTGTTTATATGACCCCTGAAATGATTTCTGTTGTGAATTATTACACCACATGTTCCAAGTTTACTTAACTAGACAAGAAAAGGAGTCAGATAACATAACCATAAAGTTCATTAAACAGACTGAAACATTCTTAACCATCAGTAGCCATGACACATTTAAATCCCCAAGAATGACATGTTCATTCAATAACATACTGTATGATATAATGATCACAGCCAAGAAATGTTCTTGGAATCAGTAACATAAAATAATTTTCTCCACCCTGTATACAAATAAAGTAACTTGCGGTGTTACCTAAGGGTCCATCTCAGGAGGGAGTTGATGGACATATCTGCTGACTGAAAACAGTAGAGGTTTGTTATCACAGCCTGTGAAAGCAGTGCTCGGGTTCTGACATCAGCAGATGTTCCTGCATCTGTCAGAAACACAGTACAACATTCACATCACCTTTGCACTACAATCAGTGAAATACAAAAAGGATTAAAGATGAAGTTTACATGCAGTGTGTGGAAACATCCAGTGTAAACTGCACACACGCCCCCCCCCCCCCCCCCCCCCCCCCCCCCACCCCACACACACATATCTATGAATTGATTTATGGAACAATAGACTTTACATTTTCTCCAAGAGTTTCTCCAAGATGGCGCCGGTGTGTAGGGCTGCCCGTCTCTCGCTCTCTGCTTGTATTTTATTTTTGTTATTTTTACAATGGTTTATGCAGTGTGCCGAGTCATATTTTCAGTATGATCGTCGGGCACTTTTGGAGCTCCGTACTTTTGCTGAAATTCCTGCGGAGTTTTTGAACAGCGGCCAGCACTCTCCCCCACCGGTCCTATCTGAGATTCCTGCGTTCCTTCTGCGTGACCCTGGCCTTTCTCCATGGAGGAAACGTCGCAGACGTCGTGGGAAGCGTGCAGGGATTTTGGTGAAACTGAGGCAAAGAGTGGATTATTCTTTCAGGACTCGCTCTGGATCTGATCATCTCCTCTCTGACCCGTGGTGCTCCCGGGGCCCGGCTGCTGGCCAGCTGCCCGCGCGCTCAGGCCATGGAAACACCTGGAGTTGTTTACCTGTGCGCCGCACCAGCAGACCAGGAGGAGCTGTTCTTCATAACCTTCGCCCGCGTCTCCATCCACGGCTGTGCCTGTGTTGGACAATATCAGGATGTGTTTAATCAACGCAAGGTCTGTTTCCAACAAGACGTTTATCCTCAATGACTTTTTTAAAGATGAGGAGTTGGATTTTCTGTTCGTCACGGAATCTTGGATTTCTGATGGTGAGTCCAGCGCCTTGGTGGAATTACTACCACTGGACTGTCTGTGTTTCAATGCCCCGCGGCCATCAGGTCGGCGCGGGTGGGGATTATTAACAGTTTTTAAAGCAAACTTTGCCTGTAAACAGTTGTCCATCCCGGTGTCCCGCGCCAGCTTCGAGCTGAGCGCCTTTGAACTTGGACACTCTCCTACGGTTCTGTGTGCGCTCGTCTACCGCCCACCTCGTTCTAAGGACTTCATAAATGAATTCTATGACTTTTTGGCTGATATCACACAGAGATACACTCACTTTTTGTTTATTGGTGACTTTAATTTGCATGTGTGTTGTCAGGAGAAGCCCTTAGTGAAGGACTTTCTGGATTTATTGGACTCTTTTGGCTTAGCTCAGCAGGTGAGCGGCCTCACCCAAGAACATGGTCACACGCTGGACCTCGTTTTAACACGCAATGTCTCTGTTTCTAATTTGAAAATCGGTGACAATGTTTTTTCAGATCACATGCCTGTATTGTTTGACTTCACCCCCCCTTGTCCTACTGCTAAGACGCGCGTTCCTGCACGTACGCATTCCATTAACCGTTTCACTGCTGCTCGTTTTAATGAAGGTTTTAATTCTGAGAGGATCGAACAGTTCCCGGTGTCTCTTACTACTGAGGAGCTAACCTCTCAGTTCAACTCTGCCTGTTTAAATGTTCTGGACCATGTTGCTCCCCTTAAGACCAGAAAAACGAAACTTAAATCAGAGCCTTGGCTGAATGACGTCACACGAGCCGTTAGGCGGCAGTGTCGCAGAGCTGAACGAAAGTGGAGGAAGGACAGGCTCCAGGTGTCTTTTCAAATGTTAAGGGAGAGTTGGCGTCACTATCAGAAAACCGTTAAAGCTGCCAAATGTAAATTCTTCTCTGATTTAATTGTCTCCAACTCCCACAACCCCCGAGTTCTCTTCTCCACCCTGAACTCAGTTCTACACCTCAGTGAGCCTTCACCTCTGGAAGCCTCAACTGAGCTGTGTGAAAACTTCCTCCATTTCTTTTTAGAAAAAGTGGCAAACACCCGGGCACTCATTTCTCCACCAGCTCATGATCTGTCTATCCCATCTCAGTGTGTGGCTGTGTTTCACCACTTTGAGCCCATCTCTCTGTCCTCTCTGGAGCAGGTAATGTGCAGCATGAAGCCATCTGGTTCCCCCTTTGATGTGGTCCCCCCTCGACTACTAAAGGAAGTTTTTCCTACCCTGGGTCCTTTTATTCTCGCTATTCTGAATAACAGTTTATCCTTAGGTGTGGTGCCAAAAACTTTTAAACATGCTGCTGTCCAGCCCCTCCTGAAAAAACTTAACCTTGACCCCTCAGTCATGCCCAACTTCTGGCCTGTCTCCAGACTCCCATTCACCTCTAAACTACTGGAAAAAATTGTGGAGTCTCAGTTGAAACAGTTTTTGGGGGATCACGCTATCCTAGAGTTATTCCAATCTGGCTTCAAATCTCGCCATAGCACTGAAACTGCTCTACTGAAGGTTTTTAACGACATTTTCATTTCCACAGACGCAGGTGATTCTGTGCTGTTGGTCCTATTGGACCTTACATCTGCTTTTGACACCATCGACCACAAGATCCTCATTTCTAGACTGGAGCAGTGGGTGGGCATCACAGGGTCAGC